TGTTCTAAAATGAGATGTGATGATGGTTGCATACTCTGTGAATATCCCAAAGACCATTGAATTGTACACTATAAATGGATGAATTATAGATATGTGAATAATATGTTAACAAAGCTGTTAAATAGCTATTTGTCCTCACAGTGTGACATTTTCATCTTTTTTCAAACTGCCTGTTTCTCCTGAGTTAATGGCATCTGTGAAACAGGAAAACTGTTCTTTTAAAAACTCTGTCAATTATCTTTAATTACACAAAAGGCTCCAGAAGAACTCATATTGTTTCTATCTTAACTGTTTTGTTTGTAATTTCTGTATATAACTCGAATCCCTTGGAAAAGATGACATAAATTTATTTTAAAACCCTTCACTATTGGGGTCAGGCACAGTGGCTCATGGCTGTAATCCCAGCACTTTGGGAGGCCAAGACAGGAGGATCACTTGAGCTCAGGAGATCAAGATCAGCCTGAGCAACAAAGTGAAACTCCATCTCTACAAAGAAATAAAAATACAAAAATTAGCCGTGCATAGTGGCACACACCTGTAGTCCCAACTTGCTTGGTAGGCTGAGGCAGGAGGATCACTTAAACCTGAGAATTTGAGGCTGCAGTGAGCTGTGATCACACTACTCCACCCCTGTCTGGGTGACAGAGCAAGATCCTGTCTGAAAAAAAATAAAACCCTTCATTGTTGATGGTATGGCATCATTTATAACTGAGTTTAATAGTTCTCTTTTTCCACAGATGGGACTGCACAACTCAGGTGCCCATTGAATTAGTTGGTAGTTGTACAAGTCTTTAGACAGAGGCTGAGAATATGATGAAATACCAGGTCATAAGCAAACACATAGGAATGTGCTGCCAGCCCTTTAAATGGTGTGAGAGGTTATAGATAATTTGGCATTCATAAACATAGAGGGAGCAGAGGCATGAAAAATGCAAACCATAAGACTGTGCAAATATAATAACAAATTTGAGGGTGGATGAGTTCTCCAGGGAAATGGGAAAGGGGTGGGGAGAAGGAAGGGAAAAGGCTAAGGATCAGACTGTGGGGGATTCAGTGATCATGGAAGGAGGAGTCTTGAACTAGGTTGAGACTTGGGACAACTAGCACTATCTGATGGGGTGGTGTTAGATGCAGCCAAGTGCTGATGGGATGCATGCATCCCTTCATATCTGGCTAAAAGGAGCTCATTGGTGACCACAGAGAAAAGGGCATCCATAGACTTTTGAGGATACAAGTCAGATTTTAGAAAACAAACATATGAAGGCAATGAGGGCATCATTTCAGTGGGACTGTTAAAAGAATGCAAAGAGGATGACAAATGAAAAGGATAGATGTTTCCCTGTAGTGTATGAAGGCTTTTTCTAGATAGAGTGAAGCTATGTATGTTTGAAGAGAGCTTGGATACCTGCATTTGGAAAGAGAAAGATAATGCTTTTGTTAACTATTAATACCACACAATACTGACATCCTATTTAATGGGTCTCTTCTTAGATGATTTTAAAATTTAAATCATTGTTGTAAACTATAGAAAATAAATCATCAAAAGATTTCTCTTATAGGCTTTGTCACAAAACAATGGAACTAGAAGGGTCTTGAGGTATTCATATAAGCTGGACAGGCATGTTTCTGAATTAATCTGGAAGATAGCTCTTTATTTTCAACATGATTAAACAAGGATATTTGGCAGCTTCCCCAGTGACCTCTGGTATTCTAATAATGCTGATTTTCTTTTCCTTAACTAAAATACAAAAGTACACAGAGATTAAGCTCTCCAATGTTTCAATCAGGAAATGCTACTTTTCTTACTGTAAACTTGGCTTATCTTATAGGACCAACAATAAAGGATTATGTGGGAGCCATAAATGGCCATCTCCTGGCAATAGTCTCCCGTTATTATGATGTAGTTTCTCAAAGGGATTTAAGTGCTTGGGGCATGGTTCCAGGGACATTGCGTTCTGTTTGAATCAACAATTTCTGCTGTATGAAAGACACTGCCCTTTAGAGATAAAGTCCACTTTGGAAAACTAGCAAGCTTTCAGAGTATAGGTACAAAATGAACTTGACCATTACTCTAGATTTTTTTCCTTTTCTTTTCAAAGAGCAGTCATCATTTGGAAGTATTCCCAGAGCCCCTGCCTCACCCTCTTAGGTCATGAAGGCATTCCTTACTGAGAAGTGGCTTAGTATTGAGAAACTGCTGAAACTTTGGTGAGAAAACTATAGAAACACATTTTGGAGACTGAGAGGGTGGACACTGTCAGGCAGTTCTCACTCAGCCAAGAGACACCTACCAGGCCCTCCTACTGCACTACTTCAGGAATTTGCACATGCAAACATGTTCCCCACATACATGTATTTCTTTTTAGCAGGTTTGGGTTTTCTGTGAAATGAGAACAGAGAAGTCAGAAACTGATAGGGGTTAAACTAATTAATGAAATTCTTTATCTACTTGGTGCTTTTATCAACAGCAAAGAAGTTTATGTTATGGGCCCTTATGGTCTTCTTGTTTTCTTTTCTTTTTCTTTTTCTTTTTTTTTTTTGAGACAGCAGAGTCTTGCTCTGTCACCCAGGATGGAGTGCAGTGGTGCGATCTCGGCTCACTGCAACCTCTGCCTCCCGGGTTCAAGTGATTCTCCTGCCTCAGCCTCCCAGAGAATATTTATGTTTTTTAATAAAATATTTTTTCCAAAGCAAAGATCAGTTTTATATTAGACTATTCCTTGACTATACATGCACTTTACAGAGGAAAATGTCGGTTTTTCCAGATTTCAGTTAAGGGAGGAATTACAACAAGGACCAGCTGCACTGAGGCTGCCCCTGAGCTGTTTCTTAACCTCAGCCCCTCTCTTCTCCATTGCTATTTTTGTGTTCTATGTAAAATATCTTTGCTCATTTCTCTGAGTATGTATTGGCATTTTCCAAAGTTGGTTATGTTCCCTCAGCGGTCATCTTCTACCCCTGGAGCTTCTTAGTCTCTATTTTGACTCCTTAGAAACAGAAAAGGTACATGTGGAAGATTTGTAAGTTTCACATTTTAAAGTGCTCTTTCTTTTGGGAAAGCAGAAGTTGAGAAGTTTAAAAATGCCTCTAGAAGAAACCTATCTCCACATTCCTTCAACTATACAGGAGGCAAGAAGGCATCTTTTATGAGCAATGGCTTTGGAAGCAGGAAATTTCTGTTCTATGATGTACTAACTACTTCCACTGGGCTTTAGTTTCCTCGTTGATAAAATGGAAATATCAACAGTGCTTGCCTTCACAGGGTTGGAGTAAGCATTGCATGAGATAATGCATATAAAGGGCTTCAGCCAGTGCAGGCATGGAGAAGGATCTCAATAAATGTTAGTGATGATGGTGGTGATGATGATAAAGGATTTGGAGTCTCAAAACGTTATATTGTAGCATTACAATGTAGCATTTTCAGATAAGAAACCAGATCACATGGTCTGCCAAGGTTATTTGAATTTGCTATATGGAAGGGAAAACTACTTCTCTGTCACTTAATGGCTGCCATATATTCTTTCTCAGTTAGGAGGTGTGCATACACGTGCTTGCTATGTCTTGTGTCCTTGTCCTGATGGTCAAGAGTTTTGTTTTAGCCCTTTTAAAAATCCAACACAGCTCTCAATATTGTGCATTGCATGCAGTAGCCTTTCTACAAGTGATTTCTTTAATTTAAAAAATCAAATTATCATGCAAATTATACTGTTAGAAAAGATTTTGACCTTATGAAGATTTATAAGACATTTATTTTTAAAGTAAAAGAAATTAAATTGGCAAATAAGGTCTTCTAAACTACCCATTTCTGGTCTATTTCCTAAGGATTCACCTCTACTCACCCTTGCTTTTCTTAGCACTTTGGCTGTTACACAATGAAATGAAGTTAATGGTTTCTAATAATGAATGAGCCATCTTCATGTTAGAGGTCTTGGTACCAAGCAATAGAATCCAACTCAGGCTAACAAGAGGGAATTTGCTGAAAGTAAATGAGAGGACCCACAGAACTGATGTGAGGCTGGAGGACCACACTTGAGAATGAGCAGAGAGCATGAGAGCTCTGGCAAGTTAGGGGCAGGAACCATAGCCATGGTCTTTGTAGCAGGAAGCATCTGTTCAGCACTAGGCCATGGGGAAAGAAAACCCACAGTCCACTCTCTTCTCTATGTAGGTGACCCACTCCATCATCAGAGTCCTCTGAGAAGGTGACCGGCCAAGCTCAGATAACAGGCTCTATAGCCAGGCTATTCCAGGAGTTGGGGGTAGGGATGTGGTGAGAGAGAAAAAAAATCTAACCTATCATTTTCTGTAATGGGAGCTGGTAGCTGAGACCATCCTCACTACACAGCTATACAAAGAGGAGGAAGAGAGATAATTTTCCAGAAAGAAACCAGGATACTACCAGGAAAGGGGAATGGATGTTTAGGAGCCCACGGTGGCAAGTGCCTGATATTCTACACTGCTAATAATCTGATTCTTTACGTCAGGCATAGTCTGTAATCTAGCCTGTCTTTATTAAGCCTTTGTAGACCTCAAAACACAGTATGAGATATTCCATTTTGTTATTCCTGTCCTATATGTGGTCTAAAGACAGTCCTCCATGTCGTCATCCTGCTCCTGTCTAAGTGGGAACAGCTTTCCTAAGCGATTAGATGGGAATTCAGGAGTTGAGAATATCGTAGCACCAGCATTAGATACTAGGATGTGCTACGTTTATTTATGTATAATTTCCAAATAAATAGAAATACATTTAAATCTATTATTTCCTGTAAATTAAAACCAGCCGACACAGTACCAGGGAGATTTTGCACATCTTATTAAATTGGGTCCTGTATAGGTATAATGTATTCAGTTCCCACCAAAGGGAATGTTTCTGGCACAGTAGAGGGTCTGGTTACTTTGAAAGTCTTAGGTTGGTTGCTTTTTTTGTTGTTGTTTTAGAATACCATTCAAATTTAAGGTGTTGCTCTTTTGGATTAATTCTGTTTGCTTTTATGTTCTAGGGGAAAACATATCCATTTCGGGGGGCCTTCCCTCCGGTATGGAACCCTATTGCATATTTGGATTATAACAACTTGTGGAGAACTATGGATAACATGGGAAAGGAGGTAAAATGTGTTCAGTTTGCACATGACCCATTACTGAAATAACAATGGCAACTGTTTAATATCCTTAAATGGTGCAGGGAACATTGCTCCGTACACCAATGCATATCATTTCCAATGTACCCAAACTCTGCAAAGTTGGTAGTATTTCCACTTGACAAATGGGAAAAATGAGTGCCCAGACATTATGCAATTTACCCAAGACCTCATAGCAAGGGAATGAGCATACCAACCTAGTCTCTTATACAAATGCCTGTGTGCCTTCAATTCTATGCTACTGAGCATTTATCTGACATATTTTTGCCAAGTATCTCTACTTACAGTTGTCTGTCTGCCTGTAATGCCATTTTAGATAGTAAAGGAGAGTAGGATTTGCCACCCCAAAGCTTTTTTACTTAGTCTTAGGCTCTGTAATATCAATCTCTCAAACTTGAATTTTGGACATAAAATGGGTATTAGGTTTCAATAATAATGATGATGATAATCACCATCATGATAATAATTAATATAAATTTGTGCATAGACATATATAATACTATCACTATTATTATTGTTTTGGCAATGGCATTAGGACAGAATCCAAAGAACCCTACCCCACTCCCTGTCTCTATATAGAATTCCATACCAATCACACATTTCAACACAGAGACCAAGAGACCCATTTTCGGAGGTTCTTATGAGGGCCTTCCTAAGAGGAGGCAGCAGTTACTATCACACCTGAGTGGGGGACTTCCTTTCTCTACAGATTCCAGCTGAGGCTCCCTGGGAGGCCCCACATGCTAACGAATGGGACAAAATGACTATGAAAGAGCTCATTGATAAAATCTGCTGGACAGCGTAAGTAGATTTGACCATACAAAATTTCCTTTTTATCTTTCCTTCTTGTCTTTTATATCCTGCCTTGAACTGCAGTGCTTTTCTTAACAACTTACAGAAGAAAAGTTAAGAGGTAACGTAGTAATCTTTCAGTCAGTAGCAATATTGAGGGCACTTTAGCACTTCAAAGTAGGTTAGAACAGAAAATGAATCTAAAAATTAAGAAAAGTAGGTGAATGAAGTAGAACTTCTTTTAATGAAAGTGTTATATGATCAATAAAATCAATAATTGTGTTTTCATATTATGGAAAGGTTGCCTACAAAAGCAGTTTGGAAAGATAGTAAATTTATACCATGGAATACTATGTAGCCATAAAAAAGAATGAAATCATATCCTTTTCAGGGACATAGATGAAGGTGGAAGCCATCATCCTCAGCAAACTAACACAGGAACAGAAAACCAAATACTGCATGTTCTCATTCATAAGAGGGAGTTGAACACAGACACAGGGAGGGGAACAACACACGCTGATGCCTGTCAGGGGGTTAGGGGAAAGAGAGTATCAGGATACATAGCTAATGCATGTAGGGGTTAATACCTAGGTGATGGGTTGACAGGTGCAGCAAACCACCATGGCACATATTTACCTATATAATAAACCTGCACATGTACCCTGGAACTTAAAATAAAATAAAAAGATAATCTCATATAGATGTAGAATACTAGGAAATGAGAGGAAAGCTAGTCTGTACTAGTAAAAAATATGTTATATAATCTTTTCAATTAGACCATGTGTTATTAGTTTATGTGGGGCCTACTATGTGAAGGCACCATACCAGGCACTGAGGAATGGGGGGGGTGAGCTTCTCAGGAATAGCCCCTACCCTCATGGAGTTTATGTTCTTCTAGCAAGCACTGACCTTGAACACAATTACATAAGAACTAGGAGAGTTCCTGTAAATTACATGGTCTGAGGGTAAAGGAAGCATTCTTTGATGACGCAATCTTTAATCTGAAACTAAGTGCATCAACTAAGAATGGGCCACAGGGGCAGGGGGCAGTGAACAATGTAGGGTGATGGTATCTTCCAGGAATGACACACAGGGACAGGAGAGAGAAAGGAAGAGTGGATGAAGTTGAGGGGATAGTATCTGCCAGGAATAAGCCATGGGGCAAGAGAGAGACAGGAAGGGTGGATGGTGTGGTGGAAATGGTAGCTTCCAGGGGTAACCCATAGGGTTGATAGTTGTGGGGCATATGGTATGATCTAAGAATGATACACAGTGTCAAAGGGAGGTAGGGAAGGTTGGACAGTGTTGGTGGGATGAGGGAATGATATCTTACAAAAATTACCTACCGGGGCAAGAAGGGAGAAAGGGATAATGGAGAAACATGGATGGTGTTTTAGGAATGACCCAAGAAAACAAGGGAGATGGGGACTGGAAGGGTGGATGGCATTGGGGAACTTTATTGTCTGGGAATGAGCCACAGGGATTAGGGGGAGATAGGGAGGATTGATGGGGAAGGAAGATAGTATCTTCCAGGTGTGATCCACAGGTTAAGAGGGGAGACAAATATAGTGGATGGTGTTTGCCATGAATGAGCTACTAGGATAGTGGGGGAGACAAAAAGGTTGATGATGTGGTACCATCAACCTTTTTGATGTGATACCATCACATCAAAAAGGTTGATGTGATGGTATCTTTTATGAATGACCCAAAGGGGTAAAGGGAAGACAGAAAAGGTATATGTTGCAGGGATATCATCCACCAACAACCTGGAGATGTAGTGGGGAGATGGAGGTATAGTTGGTATTACCAGGTTATGTCTTCCAGAAATGAACAAAAAGGGCAAGGGTGAGATAGGAAGAGCGAGTGGTGTGGCTTGGTTGCATCTTCCAGGAATGCCCCCACAGTGTTAGGGAGTGGGGAACAAGGATGGATTCCTGTGAGGTTATGGTATCTTCCAGGATTGGCCTATAGGATCAAGGGGAAACAGGCAACATTAGATAGTGCCTGTGTGTGGTAGGGAGGTGGGGTCGGGGGGAGAATGAAATTTTCCAACGATTTCTCTCTCTCCCTGGGGAGAGAAAGGGAAGATTGGTTTGTGTGGATAGAGATGGTATCTTCTACCCAAAAGGTCAAAGGGGAAGCCAGAAGGGTAGGTATCTTAGGGGAAGGGGAATTTTCCAGCAATGACCCAGAGGGTTGGTGAGGAGACAGGAAACATATATGGTGAGGCAGCATGATGTATTCCAGAAATGATCCACAGGGAAGGGGCAGATACAAAGGTGGATGGGGTGAGGGAGATGGTCTCTTCCAGGCATGACCCACAAGGGTAGAGGGGACACAGGTAGTGTAGCTCATTTGGCAAAATGGAATTTTCCAGGAATGGTCCACAGGACAGAGGATACATAGGAAGGTTTGGTGGTGTGGCAGGATGGTATTTTCCAGGAATAAACAATACTGGCAGTAGTAAGGGGTAGAAAGTAAGGGTGGATGGTGAGATGTCATGGTTTCTTCCAATAATGACTCACAGCATGTTACAGGAATGACCCAGAGGCAGAGGGCAGAGAGAGGAAGCATGACTGGTGTGGCAGGATATGCCTTCCAGGAATGGTCCACATGAGCTACGGGATTCAGGGAAAGTGGGCTTGTTTGCAGGCATGGTTCTTCCTGGAGCGACCCAAAGGGTCAGGGATGAGACAGGAAGGGTGGATATTTGGGGAGGGGGGATAACTTCCATCAATGACCTAGAGAGGTGGGAGGAGACAGGAAGTGTGGAAGGTGACCAGGATGGTATTTCCAGGAATGACCTTCAAGAATTGGGAGAGACAACTAGGATAGATGATTTAGTGGGGTGGTATCTTCCAGGAATGAACCAAAGGGGCAGAAGAAAATATGGTAGATTGTATTTAGAGAGATGGACTCTTCCAGGAATGAGCCACCCTGGTGGTGTTTGGGGGGAACACAGAAAGGGTAGGGATGGTATCTTCCAGGATGGCCCACAAGGCCAAGGGGGAGATAGGTCAGGGTGTATAATGTGTTTCTGAGGGCAGGGGATGTTACTTTTTGGGAATGTGACACAGACACCCTGGGGACTCAGAGAAGGGTAGATGTTTTTTGGAGGAGGTGGTATCATCCCAAAATGAACCAGAGGGTTTAGAAAGGTGTACCAGGATGGTATCTTCCAGGAATGAGCCACAGGGGGATGGGGGGTGACATGAGGTTGTGGAGGGAAATATCTTTCAGTAATGATTCAAAGGGGTCGGGGGAGATAGGAAATAAAGATAGTGAGGCAGGATGGTATTTTCTAAGAATGGTCTTCAGGATGTGTGGGGTTAAGTAAACAGGAAAGATGGACCGTGTAGGAGGATGTTATCTTCCAGGAATGAGCCACAGAAGTAGGGGTGAGACAGGTAGGTAGATGGTTTCATGGAATGATATTTTATAGGAATGAGCTATAGGGCAGGGGGTAGATATAAAGGGTGGATGGTATGGAGGAAATGGTATCTTCCAGGAATGAACTACAAGATTGAGGAAGGAGGGGGATGATGGATGAGCTAGGTGTATGGGATCTGTCAGGATGGCCCATAGGGCCAAGACAAGACAGAGTGGATAATGTAAGGGATGTTAGTGTCTTCCAGGAATATGACACAGGCAATGCAGGGAGGCAGCAAAGGGTAAATGTTTTGGTGAGGGAGTAGAGTGACCCAGAGTGGTAGAGGGGAGATGTGATAGTTGAATGGCAGGATGGTATCTTCCAGGAATGAGCCACAGTGGCAGTGGTGGGGGTGG